CAGCAGGTTTTTGCGAATCCGATTTAACAGCCGCTGCCAAACCTATTCGCCAATATCTACACACCTCCTCACTGTGGTAAAATCCGTTGCAGCCCCGATACCATTGTGTTTACGTCTCACGTCTCACTTCTTGCTCGACGTATCACCTCTTTCGTCCGAACTTTATTTTACCGACTGTTGTATTGTATTTTCAGCTGGCTCACCCTCAAATTCGTTCCCATTTACACTGTTGGCCTTATTCGACGTTTCGCGATGGCTTCTTCATCTCCTAGAACGTCTATTCCGATTCAAGAACCAGTGTTTCTTCAATTTCTTCATGATGTTCGCCGTGCTTACCTTCTATTACATCGAGCAATGGCCTTACTTCCACCTACTCTCATCCCCAACATTGAACCCACACCTCTTCCCAGCACTGACGTATGGAACCAACCTGACGGGCTCCGACCGCACTACTCGAACCAGACCAATGCCTTTATTGACGCAGTCCACATCCCGTCACCCGACATCGCTGAGGAAGAAGCCCTTATGGATGAGTTGTTGGAGACCAACCTTCCTGAACCACATCAACATGTTGCTGCCCCGTCACCTGAAGCCCTTCCTGAACCATCTATGCTCTCAACTACAGCACCACCACCTCCGAAACGCAAACAGAAGGCCAAAGCAGTTCCCAAAGTACCTGCGAAGCGTCGTCGCCTTCATGAACATTCGAGATCCCGCTCTTCGAGCCCACTTTCGACGTGGACTCTCGAAGAAAAACAAAAACTTCGTACACTGAAGACTGATGAGAAATCCCGATTTTCATGGCGGGTGATCTCGACCAAGATGGGCAAATCTGAAGATGACGTCCGATCTATGTGGAACAAGATCAAAGACAAACTTGGCTGACCACCTGCGACGTGAAAACAAGAAAAGGACGTCCTGCAACAACGTTTTACCACTTTCAATACCCAACCTCGTGTGTCTCTCTCTTTCTTGTTGTAAAGGTATTGCTTAACTTCGAACTATTTTATTACCACAGCCTCACCCATTTTGGCATGGTTGATCGACTTGAACCTTCAAACTCCATTTTATACAAACCGTCAGCCTTTTATTATGTCTCTACGCATTCACCTGGACCGATATTGCCAGCAGCGAGCTATGGCCAACGACAGCATCTCTCCTACCCGACGATCACGCTCTCCGACCAGGGCACCTTCTTCCGCCACGGGTTCTTCACCTTTTCAGCACCTACCCGGCTGGACACCTCCGCCTACTACACCCCATCGACCGGTCATTTTACAATTGGACCTGAAACCTATGCAGCAACTGGCAGCCAGAAACCCGTATTACAACATCCTGGCCCCCAAGGTCGCGGGCAACCTCTCCACTGAAACATATGACAGCCTGTTCCAGACCTTCAAGGTGATCTACCCCGACTACGCCCGCAGTCATTTCGTTTCAGACCTGAAAACAGTGGTGACGGATACGCTCTTACAGAGATGGTCGATACACCTACAAGCGACGGACTTCTACATGATGATCGACACGGATCAAGGAGCTCAGATGCTTGATGACCTTCCTCATTCTCTCCTGGACATCCTGAACTGGTTTTACCCGTCATGGAAGACTCATCAACATCTCGATGCCTTCACGTCACGTGACTGTTCACCTTTGTTGCTGACACCCCATCCAGATACGCAAGATACGGGCTTTGCGGTCCATGTTCAAGTGATTCCTCGAGGGCATCCATTCGTCACTGCAACACGATATACGAAGACTGCCGCGTGACAGGCCTTTAGAGATACAACCCTGACATGCACACATCTATAAAAAGAAAAAAGGAAAAAAGACCGATTACGAAATATTCCGCCATCCTGCTGACCATCTCTATTACCAATCCCTTCTCTATGATTCCCTATGTTCTCAAGAATTCCCAACACTATTCTTCATATTGTGGTTGTTTTCCTCAATTTGGACTCCTTTTGACGGAATTTCGGCTTCAGTTTGTTTCGATCTCATATTTACTGCTTCCGTACATGGCGAACCCCGCGACTGATGACGTTCTTCGGCTGATTCCAACCCGTTCCTCAACTACGTCAATCCATGGCCCTGATTCACATCTCCCACCTGATGATCCTACCTCGGCATCGTACATTCCCCGGGCAGCCAGAATGACTCCAACCTCTGCGACCGTTCACACCATATTTATCAAGAAGCTCAGCTACCCCTTTTCTCCTCGACCTGATGAACTTTGGATCTTGGAACGGACACTAGATGGTATTGAAACTTGGAAACCAGTGGAAACATTTTTGGAGAACATGCGCCTCACAAGGGATCGTGCCACCTTACGCACCACTGCTAACCATTGGCGCCAGTACTATGATATACCCATCCAATCATCCTCCTCCTCTACGGCAACATCCGTTCCGGTTCTCCCACATCCCGAACACACCAACGTCCACGTTTCACAACCGTACGAAGCGATACCGGACCAGCTTCATATTCTACAATCATGCTGGGGACGTTCGGCTCAACATCATTCACAAGGTACCACTATTTCTTTGTCTTGGCCACCATGGAGATCTACACCACCTTCCTCACCATCGGCAACACTTCACCGGACCCTACACTCGAATAACCCTACCGCACCTGTTCATCATTCTCATTGTCCACTACCTGCGAACGAACCTGGCCCTATGGATATGTCTGACTCCAGTGTGTAACACACCACATCACCTGGCAAAAAGAAAAAGAAAAAAGACTGAATGTCGACTTGTGACCATTTATTGTGTACCCCGTTTCCTACTTCTTCCCTGTCATGACTTTCGTTTTCCAATTTATCGTAATCTACAGTATTCTTATTTTGCAGCCTGGGCTTAACGCTTGAAACTCGACGCCATGGCTCACTCTTCTCGTCCTCACCCATATCGCGCTACATCCAGGATCAATACACCACAAGGTCCCAGAACTGCTGCATGGCTTGCTGGACATCGAGGCCTTCCTGGTGATGTGAACCCTCCTCCATACAGACCCATTCTGATTTTAGTGGATTACTCCCCTTTGCAGGGATTGACACACCGCAGTGAACCTGACCGTGATCTTTACATGGCTCTTGCCAATTCAAATTTCAAGAATGTTAGTGCAGGAGAACTTGAAGCTCTTTTTACTTGGGCACGTCAGCTGGAACCAATCGAAGCAGGCATCCTTCCCATTCGAGACCTACGTACTGCCATCACAACAAGATTACGGACCCAATGGGACATCCATTTGGAACCTTCGAATTTGGAATTTCGCTACTACGATCTGGAAGGTGATGCTTTCCAAGTTCCCAATGATTGGACTGTCATGCAGCTTTTGGAAGAATACTGACCTGATTGGCGTCTCCGGCAGTACAACTATATCGAATCCACCTTGCTCGTACCCGGTACCTCACAGCCTTTCGTGCTACGTCTGAGATGCCATAAGGTTAGCCCTGGAGTCATCCTACCCTGATTTGCTTCGCGGTTGAACAGGAAAATGAACGATCGGTTCTTTCTCTCTTTTGATTTACGAGATTTTATCAACACGGTAGACTTTCTGGGACTTCACCTTTCGATTCATGGTCCGCCAATTTATTCTCCGTGAGCTTCGTAACCCGTTTATTACTATTCTTCTTTTGCTTGGCATGCATGTGTGACCTCAGCTTTTGGTTTTGCATTGAGCTTATTCTTGCGACCGTTTCACCCATGGAGCATAAACGTGACGCAACTGTGGCTGGCTTGGGTTGGCCTTCGAATCCGAACCGCGGATCCGCTTCCACAGAGTCTGCCCCAGAGTCAGGCGGCCAGGCTTCTGAACTATGTCATCCGGTTGCCCCCGCTCCTACGACCTCGACCACTTCGGCACCTCTGGAAGCCAATACTACACCCAACGACCTCGGAACCACGTCCCAGACCGATACATACTCAGCCCCCGCACTTCCTGATGTACCTTTCCCTACAGAGCCAAGTCCTACCTACAATTTCTTCCATCGCTCTCACTTCTCATCACGAGTGGTCCACCAGATTCACTTCAAGATCATTACGCACTCCAACAATACCAGGGAGTTATTCATTGAAGAGATTCCCACCTCGGGGCTCTCCAAATGTCGTGATCCTGAACACTACTTCTACGGTCTTTCTGGCAATTGGGAGTGGTCCTTACGCACTGCGGATTATTGGCGCCATCACTTTGAGATTCCTCTAGTACATGGGCACCATCCTTTTCACAATGTTCCCATTGAGACGACTTCTCCTGTAGAGGCACCCCGCCTAACTGCCAAGATCCAGGAGTTAGCCAAACAACTTTCAGACACTTTGACGGCAGCTATGGCATCTGGAGAAATCAACGACACATGGAGAACTGTTGAAGGCATGAGCTTCCGCGAAGCGATCCAAATACTTCAACTCGAAGCGAATTTCCCTTCTGAGTGAAATGACCGCAGCTTTGTACACTAGCATCGTGTAGGTTCATTTGATTTGATTGGTTCTGCCGACCTCGACCGCGACGATCTTCCAAAATCAAACCCCGCTACATGCGGTGTGTGTGTGTGTAACATCTGTACAGATGTAAAACTTCTTCATTTCTAATACTCTTACGTTTGCAGGGGGACGTGGCATACAATCAGGGACCACGTCCAACGAAGCTACCTGATTGTATGGGATACAGAGCCTGATCAGCTCTGCGTACCTGCCGCTCGAATTTTCCGGAATAGCAAGGGGCCAAGCTAAGAACCCCAAAGACGAACATGATACATTTGCACGGTTGTCACAATCTGAACTTCATGTCGTGTTGCATCAGAACCTTCCTCAGAGCAAGGACGTAGAAAGCATTTTTGTAACATTTTGTTTACATGATCGCCGACAACATCGTCGCCGACAGTTATCTATTGCCTAATCTTCGCCGAGACTTCGCCGATGATAGACTCAGGCCCGGATTAACGCGCTTCAACAACAGAATGCGTTGCTTAATCAACAGTTGGCCAATTAATCTTTTACCATCCTTTACCCATATTCAACATCTCCAACAGTTGATTCCGCATCAACAATCGATGCCACAACAAGCTCCTTCAACATCACCTTCACTTCCACCACAACCACTGGTTCAACCCGAACCACCAACGTCCATTGTGGTACCTCCAAACCACCCGCCAACTCCATCACCAACTCCACCATCCCTCAACTCCGAGGAGATGTTGAACAAGATGCGGCAAAACTTGAAAGCCGATTTGGTTGCTGTCATGAAAAAGGCCAACGAACAATCACTACAACAAGCCGTGCCTACACAGCCACTTCACACACCACCTACAACAACTCAACCTATACTGACATCCAACATCCAACGACAGCTCACTCCTCACGTCGATCTCGTTGTCCACCTCGACATCGAGAACCTCACAGGGATGACAAGCGACCCGTCTCCATTCCAAGGAGCCCTCGTCGACGTGCTCGCTCTCGCGATCCCAGTCCACATCGTTGACGTGGCTCTCCATCGTATCGAGGAAGAAAGAATTCAGTCAGTCACAGTTATGACTTCAGACAAGATGATCGCACCCACCAGGGTTCAACACGGCTCTCTTCTCGGCCACCTGAACCTTCAAACCCACCTGCCTGGCACCAGTCCCCATACCAACAAGACAGGTCGACACAATTTGATGACTAACAGGGACGCCCAGTCTCACATAGGGACCAGGCAGATTGGCAGGACTGGGATGCTTGGGGCAAATGGGGAGACCAGTCACCAAATATGCTGCGCAACAGATCGCAGAACAGATACAAGGCTGGTTACCAGCCAGGGCCACGGATCCAGACTCCCAACATGAGGTCACCCAGCTCCGAAACCAATTGGCTGAACTTCGTCAACGTACGGGTGAAGACATCACAGAGGGCGCTACATCGCCCAGACCGGGTCAATCCAAGTCCCGCTGCAACTCCCATCCAATGTGCGCTCATGAACAACCCCAACACTCCTGCCCCACCAGTTTTTGAACCTGCCAGTCTACTCACCCTTCCCACCACAACAAATCCATGGCTGGTTGACAACATGCCAAGCACCTTGGCTGTTCGCTCCTTTGGAAAATGGCTGAAAGACCTTCCCATCTCTGAGGCACAACGTGCCGTGCTTACCACCAACATTGCCAAGACAGAGGCATGGTGGGGTCGACAACCTGCCGAATCTCTCGAAACTGTTCAACGAGTAGCAGTCATGCTGGGCATCCCTGTCAGCCTCATGAGCCAAAACTATGATGTCACCAATTTCCTTCGGGCGATGACGGCAGCAATCAGCATGACCAATTGACTAGCCCCTTCGCTTCGCAAGAAGCTCAAGCACAAGTGCTTCAATCCCATTTGCAAGCTCTCCATTCGATGATTCTGGCCATCTACATTTTGACTCCCTTCACCATGGCTTCTACGCTTTCCCTTTTTCAAGGCTTTCGCATCATTCAAACACGTATGATGGTTCTGTCAGTCATTCACGGCCTTCGGCCCAATCAACAGCTAAAAGCAATTTTGGAAGGGTGTGGCCAATCTCAACCATTTGTGGGGATCTTCGCTTACAGCCCACAACCTTTTTGCGCAAACATTTTTCCCGTCCCAGTGTGTCTGCATTCGTTTCACACATATTATGAACATGCAACCCAAATTCTATATTGGGTCCGCCATGCACCACACCCTGGATCGCGAATACAGTCGCTCCAGAAAACCAGCTCACCAAGGACAAACTTGTCCAAGCTGAATTGGCTCTTCGCTACTGGAAGGAACACGACAATCTGTACATTTGGGCTCCTGTTCTCATCTTCACGGAAAGAGCTGATTACCGATGTCTTGAACTCGCTTTGAAACAAGAATTGCAGCCACGCCTAAATTACCCATTCATATGCCAGTTCTTCCGCCCACGGAAAGGCATTCTCAAAAAACCTGCCATGAACACCAACGCGCAGTTTGGCCTTGCCACCCTCTGGCGATGGTCCAAACACAAGTTCACTCCGCAGGTTGTCAAAGACATCTTGGCCTCTGAACGGTTTCAACACCGACCGGAGCTTTGGAACATCATTCATTCACTCCCTGGGGTCGAATACAAAAACACGATTTGAACAAACCAAAATGCCCCGATCCAATGATGGAGGCCTCACTTTGTGCTATGCATTACGCCGTCTGGCAAGCAACATCCAGGAGCCTTATCGCACCCTTTCCCTTCAAGCCATCGACGCCTCCATCACATGGTGGCAAGGGAAACCCGCACCACGAGCCTCAGCGCTTCGTGCTCCCTGGTCTTTAAGTCCAAATCTTCAACGCACCCTGAAACAATTTCTCCGAAAATGGCATCTACAAGTTTTGGCCTACCAAGTCCCGTGCCACACGCCGTCTTTCAAAACGGTCTTCATCAAGCACGCAGCAGTGTTGGACCAACTCTGCAACCACAAACAGGCCATATCTCAATGGTCCACCGAACCAAGCGCCATATGCTGCTGCCAGCACCGGTCCAAATACAAAAAAGCAGCCCTGAATCCATCAAACGCCCACTGGGTCTTGGCAGGTTCGCTTCTTCATGACCTGCTTCCGGCAGACCTTGCCGAGCCTTGCCGTCATTGCCGAGGGATCCTTGTTGAACAAAGTCTTTCCATCCAAGAAGGGCTATCAAGCCAATCTGAAGTTTGCTCTGCATCAGTGGACGAAACGGAATGCTCTCCCATCCATACCGTCCCAAGACATCACGGGCCTGGCACAACTTCTATGGCAACAACACAATCAGGAGGCCACATGCCAAATCACAAAATCGTCCTTCACCACCTTCCAAACCTTATTTGATGGTGCAATCTTCCATTGTGAAGACAGACAAGCTTCGTCACTCAGAATTTTCTGCCCATGCCTCTACTATCAAGCGATCGAAACTACCTCATGGACCCCTCCATCTTTGAACCCGTCGACCAAGAACCCTCCACAATCGTCAGCTACCTTGTCTCATCGTTGACAAAGCGATATGGTCAGTCATACCCATGGGCCACATGAAAAGGTCGCCAACTTCCTGCCGGCTACATCCTGGCCAAGAAGAAGAAAGCATTCCAAAGTGGCCGTCCCATCATCTCATTTGTGGACTCCCCTTTCTGGCCTATGCTCAACATCCTGGCTAGAATGATTTTCCAACTCATTCCAGTTGCCTGCCCTGATCATTTCGCTTCAGGTGATGTCTATACTCCCGTATCCATTTTGAGAGCTGCCCCAGTTGATGGGAACCTCATCCTCATCAACCAAGACTTGGCGGGCTTCTTCACCAGGATTGACCAATTGCTAGGTTCATCCGGGCATGGTACATGCTTTTGGATTTTCTTCGTCCTCATATGAACGTTGGCGACAATGAAGTCTTCTCGGTCTACCCGGGCAAAACCAACAACCCGGGAGACCTAATCAAAGGACGCACGTTTCGTCGACTCAATGTCACAAGAAAGATTGTGATCAAGGATGTACCATCTCGCACAAAAACAATACAAAAACAGCATTGGATATGCAAACCTTTGCGTTGGGTCAACGCTGCACGCTGCATTCGACAACGCAGAGGCAGTCTAATGGGAAGCCCGCTGTCTCCAGCACTTTGCCTCATGGTAATCTGGATCCCTGGCCTTCAAAGGAAGCCATCCTTGCATGAGTTCTGCAATAGTTTGAGCAGCAGGTGTTGGCTCTCTTGTCGAGGTGTTTGCCATCTTGCCTGGCACGGTTCTGTGAGATTCTGTCCAAGTCAATTCCTCGGTTTCTCATCTCTGAAAGTGTGAGAGAGAGAGAGAAAAGCTCCGCGGCAAACACCACAGCAGCAATATCCCTGTAGGGATGAGATATAGCTCTCTTCCATGGGCCAATTTTCGTAGCCAACGGTTGTTGGCCTGCGGGTACAGGAGTGCAGCCAACGGAAGGGCTAACGGGTCACAGCCTTCCACATCAAGTCTTGCTGTAAAAGCCGGTGTTCAAATAGTACGAGGAAATGTGAAGCCATTGATCTTGTCGTAGTGATCCCGGTCACTTGCCAATTCTTGTTCAAGTCAAAACCATAAACTCTTGGTTCGTCACTCGGTCCCGGAGTCGCCAATGTATGAGGAGATGGGTGAGCATTGGATTGTGGATGTGATGGACGGACCATCGGTGGTGGAGTCGCTGGAGTTGCAGGGCAAGGCTGAGTTGGTGAGCAAAGGATTGCTGAGAGCTTGGGATGGAGGTGGAAAAGCGTTAGGTGGAGATGGTGGAAATGGATGTGGATGTGGTGATCTTGTCCAACTGGTTGGTGGTGGAGGTGGAATAACACCCAAAGGGCCCGACAACCCAAAAGGTCCGGACGGCATCGATGGCCAACAAGCATTAAACTGGGGTCGTGACATGTGCGGTAAGGTCCGGACAGCTGCACCCATAGGCCCACACCACTTCGGAAAACCACCACTTCGGAAAACCCGGTAGGTCATGTCGCGAAGCGTGTTGTACCGGTCGATTATGAACAGAACAGATGTTGGAGAACGTGATCGATCGGAGCTCGCCATGGGGCCACAGGGATGCTGCTAAGAACCAAAGGATCGATAGACAGTAATCAGGTCGCTTTGATACAAAGGTGACATCAACAGTATCATCCGACTTGAAGACATGAGCAACAACGAAGTCATGAAGCATCAAGAATGACAAGCCTAAACTAACTAACACGAGAAAGTTGAAAACAGCATCAAAAGAAAGAAGGGCAAAAAACCAAAGGAAATAGTACCAAGTGAATCACGAAAAAAGAACAAAGTGGAATCCATCACATGCAGGCAACAGCGCAGCAATATTCCAAGCAAACATGTCCAGGATGCACCTAGAAAGGCAAATACCATGTTTACGCATCTACTGAGTTCACTTCTTCTGAAAAGTCTGGAAAGTCCTCTGGAGGAAGCTTCCTGGCTTTCCCTTGTAGCTGGCTTCTCAGATTTTTCCCGACTGCGTAGCAAGGGTTCCCGTTTCACTCTGGGGGTCTGGGGGTTGAGGGTGTGTTCGCTCGACGTTGCGTTTCTGTTCGCAACCGTTCGCAACCGTTCGCAACCGTTCGTGTGAGGACCGTATGGCCGTGCCTATGGTAAGTTCTGCAGGAGGGGTCATTTTTGGAGGTTTCCAACGTTTCGTTGCTTCGTTCCGCGTGGCAGGCGTGGCACTTTGTTACATTCAGACGTGTTCTGTAACGCGTCGAAAGTCGTTTTGTGTGGCAGGCGCAATACTTTTGCGACGTTTTCCGAAGATGCGTGGCAGTTTTCGTGGCAGGCGCAACACTTTGGACGGGTCCATCGTCATTTTGCGTGGCAGGCGCAGCACTTTAGACGTGTCGTGTTGAGTGCTTTTTTCAAAACGCGTTGGCAGGGCTGCGTCAAGTGGCGACAAGGTGCAAATTCCGTGGCAGGCGTGGCATTTTGTGAGATGTACTGAAAATTGACGGAAGCCCCGCACGAAAGATTGATTTTGAGGTAGCAAATGTAGAGGTTCCTACCTC